GTCTAGCTGTGAATGGTCATGACCAAATCACAGCTAAGCACAAAAAAAAAAACAAAAAACCCTGAATGAATCGATGTCATTCAGGTAGATGCTTGCTTATAGCAAAGTAATGCTTTGCTATAAGCAAATTGTTTAAAAAAAAAAAAAAAAACAAATACTGATCGCTTCCCCAAAGCAGTACAATGTTACTATGGTAACATTGTACTACTTTGGTCATAGTGAAATATGAAGAAAAAAGACAAAAAATTTAATAAAAAAAAAAAAATATATATATTTTTTTTTTCATACTGTCACCAGTGTTCCTGATCACCGGCCATGCCAGTTATATGATGACGCTGTACTGCACTGTTGACAGTATGTAAAGAAAAATAGTGAAAATAATTTTAATTTTTTCATTTTCCAAAAAATTATGACAAAAAAAATACAACTTCAAAAAACTCGCCATGCCTTATTATGAAATACGTCGGACTGTCTACTTTGCAAAAAGGGGTCATTTGGAGGATATCTGTACTGTTCTGACATTCTTGGACCTCAAGAAATTAGATTGGCTGTCAGTACTTCAGGATTGATCAATATTCAGATCTATACCATAGTTTGTGAGCTCTAGAACTTTCCTACAAACTAAATAATACATCCTAATTTGGGTTATTTTCACCAAAGACATGAAGCAGAATACATCTTGGCCTAAATTTATGAAGAACAATTATTTATTTGCAAACTTTGCAAACAAAGAAAAACGTGGGGTTTTTTTTCAAAATTTTCAGACCTTTTATAAAAAAAAAATAAAAACCCCAGCGGTGATTAAATACCACCAAAAGAAAGCTCTAGTTGTGTGAAGAAAATGATAAAATTTTAGTTTGGGTACAATGTTGTATGACCGTGCAATTGTCATTCAAAGTGTGAGAGCGCTGAAACCTGAAAAATGGCCTGGGCAGGAAGGGGGTAAAAGTGCCCGGTATGAAAGCGGTTTAAGGGCCCGTGCTTTGCCTTGCATTACATTACGGATGGTGTCTGGTTTGAGCATGTACAGGACTCTGCTGCTGAGATGATACTGCCATCTAGTTTTTAATCAGTGCATCACTGGATCTCATCATCATACCTGGTGCAAAATACACCTCCGGAACGTGAGTGCATGTCATTTGTTTTAATTGATGAATAAAAGTTTATAAGGATAAAGCACTATGTTGAGTTCTTTTTAATGAGGAATACAGCTGATACAAAGACGCTTATCAGGAGGGAGCTTACTTTGGAGTCTTCATTCAGCAAGCTGATCTTCTGAGTCCATATGGGACCACAAGTGCAGTTAGACCATAACATTGTATAATGTGAGGTCACACTGCGTGAGGTGAGCAGATATATGGTGGAGGATGTCTTTGCACGGGAATTGATGACAGATGCACATTTTTTTCATTATCCAATGGAGGGTTCACTGAATGAACATTTTATTGATTGAACTTGATTCTTTGAATGACTTTTGTTTGATTCATACTTAAAAATATTCTTTATTTTAGATATTTTTGTGTTTTATATATCTATATTTCAATATTAATATATTTCTACTGTTTTGATTCTAATATATATTTTATTATTTTTTCACTTGTTTTTTGGTTATATAATGGATTGTGCCATTGTTTCATGTAGCGCAGCATTTTTTCATTTCACATTATTATTGTACACTCAGAGGCGCTTCTGTGTTTTTTTTTCTCTTTTCTGCATGTACAGTGCCTTGAAACAGTATTCAAACCCCTTAAAATTTTACACATTTTGTCATGTTACAACCAAAAACCTAAATGTATTTTATTGGGATCTTATGTGATAGACCAACACAAAGTGGCACATAATTGTGAAGTGGAAGGAAAATGATAAATGGTTTTAAAAATTTTTTTACAAATAAATATCTGAAAAGTGTGGTGTGTATTTGTATTCAGCCCCCCCGAGTCAATACTTTGTAGAATCACCTTTGCCTGCCATTACAACTGCAAGTCTTTTTGGTTATGTCTCTATCAGCTTTGCAGCTTTCTAGAGAGTGACATTTTGCCCATTCTTCTTTGCAAAATAGCTCAAGCTCTGTCAGATTGGATGGAGAGCATCTGTAACAGCAATTTTCAAGTCTTGCCACAGATTCTTAATTGGATTTAGGTCTGGACTTTGACTGGGCCATTCAAACACATGAATATTCTTTGATCTAAACCATTCCATTGTAGCTCTGGCTGTATGTTTAGGGTCATTGTCCTGCTGGAAGGTGAACCTCCGCTCCAGTCTCAAGTCTTCTGCAGTCTGTAACAGGTTTTCTTCTAAGATTGCCCTGTATTTGGCTCCATCCATATTCTCATCAACCCTGACCAGCTTCCCTGTCCCTGCTGAAGAAAAGCATCCCCACAACATGATGCTGCCACCACCATGTTTCACAGTGGGGATGGTGTGTTCAGGGTGATGTGCAGTGTTCGTTTTCCGCTACACATAGCGCTTTGCTTTTAGGCCAAAAAGTTCAATTTTGGTCTCATTTGACCAGAGCACCTTCTTCCACGTTTGCTGTGTCCCCCACATGGCTTCTCGCAAACTGCAAATGGGACTTCTTATGGCTTTCTTTCAACAATGGCTTTCTTCTTGCCACTCTTAATAAAGAGCCAGATTTGTGGAGAACATGGCTAATAGTTGTCCTGTGGACAGAATCTCCCACCTGAGCTGTGGATCTCTGCAGCTCCTCCAGACTTACCATGGGGCTCTTTGCTGCTTCTCTGATTAATAGATTGACGCAATTCGTAGGAGCATCGACTGCACAGACATCCATCCCACTTAGCATACCTTATACTAAACCTCCCTCAACACTTTCCTCTTTTGACCTCGCTACTACCGAAGAGGTCACTAAGGTTTTCGCAGAAGCCCATATCACTACCTGCCCCCAGGATCCTGTCCCCTCACAACTACTATGGTCACCCTCTTCTTCCATCCTATGCTCCCTCACTCACATCTTCAATCTTTCCCTCTCTACTGGTGCTTTCCCCTCCCCTCTAAAGCATGCATACATCACTCCCATACTTAAAAAGCCCTCCCTGGACCCCACCAACCTGAACAACCTAAGACCCATCTCTCTGCTGCCATTTACCTCTAAACTCCTAGAATGCTTAGTCTACAATCACCTTAGCTCCTACCTCACTGACAACCTTCTTGACCCTCTACAGTCTGGCTTTCGCTCACTACACTCCACTGAAACTGCCCTACTAAAATTCACTAATGATCTACTAACAGCTAAAACCAATGGCTACTACAGTTGCTTGCACTGTGCTCTTGCAGTCATTTTTACAGGACGACCACGCCTAGGGAGAGTAGCAACAGTGCTAAACTTTCTCCATTTGTAGACAGTCTGTCTTACCGTGGACACATAAACATCAAGGCTTTTGGAGATACTTTTGTAACCCTTTCCAGCTTCATGCAAGTCAACAATTCTTGATCGTAGGTCTTCTGAGAGCTCTTTTCTGCGAGGCATGGTTCACATCACAGTGCTTCTTGAAACCAGTAAACCCAAAACAGGTGTGTGTTTTTTTAAGGGCAGGACAGCTGTCAGCAACACATCCAATATCATCACACTGATTGGAGTCAAGGTTGGCTCACTCCTGGCTCCAATTAGCTCTGGGAGAAGTCATTAAGCTAGGGTCTCACATACTTTTTCCTCCCTGCACTGTGAATGTTTACATGTTATGTGCAATTAAACCATGGCAACATCTAATGTTTGTGTAGTATTATGTTCAGCAGACTGTGTTCTTCTATTGTTGTGACTTAGATGACGTTCAGAGCACATTTTATGCCCAATTCATGCAAAACTCCACGTAATCCCAAGGGGTTCGCATACTTTTTCTTGCAACTGTACTCCGTACTCTTACTACTTGACCTCTCTGTGGCTTTTGATACTGTTGACCATTCCCTCCTCCTCAAAAAAACTCCACTCTCTTGGCCTCAGAGACTCTGCTCTCTCCGGGTTCCAAAACTGAGCTCTTATTATTCAGCCCAGGCCCCCTCCCCTGACTTCTCCATCAAGATCAATAACACAATCATCAGTCCCTCCCCTCATGCCAGGGTACTAGGTGTAATCCTAGACTCCCATCTGTCCTTTCAGCCCCAAATCCAATCACTGTCCAAATCTTGTAGACTTCACCTCCGCAACATCTCCATGATACGCCCGTTCCTAACCTCAGAAACCACTAAGCAACTTATTCTCTCCCTTGTTATATCCCGCCTTGACTATTGTAACTCCCGCCTCATTGGCCTACCTCTTTGCAGGCTATCCCCTATTCAGTCTATCATGAATGCTGCTGCCAGACTCATCCACCTTACTACTGTTGTTCTGCCACCCCTATCTGCCATCCCTCTACTGGCTTCTCATTGCCCAATGAATAAAGTTCAAAACAATAACATATAAAGCCATTTATAACTCTGCCCCAAATTACATCACCAATCTTGTTTCCAAATATAACCCAAACCGTACTCTCCGCTCCTTGCAAGACCTCCTACTCTCTAGCTCCCTTGTCTCCTCCTCCCATGCTCGTCTCCAGAGCTTCCCTCATCCTCTGGAACGCTCTACCCCAATTTGTCAGACTATCGCCTACTCTGCTCACTTTTAGGCAATCTCTGAAAACCTCTCTCTTCAGGGAAGCCTATCCTGCCCTCAGCTAATAATGGAATCTTCTACTCTTCCAACCAGTCCATACCCCACAGTTTGTACCACTAGCCCCTCCCTCCTAGATTGTAAGCTCCAAGGAGCAGGGCCCTCAAATCCCTCTTGTATTGAACTGTATTGTTGTTGTATTGTCTCCCATTATATTGGAAAGCACTGAGCAAACTGTTGGCGCTATATAAATCCTGTATAATAATAATAATGCTCTCCTTGCCTGGCCTGTCAGTTTAGGTGGATGGCCATGTAAGAGAGTTCACAAGTATGTATTTCACCTGGAATTCAGCTTTAATACAGAGAGTACACCACAGGACCAGGAGAAAATACTTACACAACGGCCTGGGGGTAAGAAAGATTCCACAGTCTGCTCATAACCCCCACCACTGTCAGAGCCACCAGGATCAGGTTTATTTCTAAGGTTACCAGAAATGAAGACTTCCGAAGGTCTGACATCCCGCATGGATGCGGCACAAGATGGACAGGAGTGGATTAAGGGGACAAGCTATAAGAAAGAGAAAGAAAGGAGCAATGACAAAGAGGAAAATGGAAATCAATACAGAGAGAAAACTAAGGAAGAAAAATTTAGAACCAGCAGGAAAGGTAAAAAAAAAAAAAAAAAAAGTATTCAGTTGAAAAAAATGCATTGTCTGTACATACCACTGAATAACAGTCTGCATCATTCTGCTAGCATTTCAAACAGCTATTACCTAGCCAGATTCAAGGCCTAAAGACCACCATGCACAGGTCAATTATCTCTCATTCATCCTGCGGCTGAAATTCGGAGGCCTTAAAGCCTACCTCCATGTTAAGTAAACATAAATAATCGAATCCTTGTGCGCGGCTATGAATATGCCTCAACCCCGTGTACTCAAATAAGATAATAAAAAAAAAAAAAAAAAAAATTGATAAAAAAATATATATATGTACTATACTCATACTACACATGTACACATAGGTACATGTGTAGTATGAGTATAGTAGATGAAAAACCGACGTGAACTGATCTGTTTTTTCTTGGAAAAAACGTGACTGAACTGATGAAAAAACGAAATGCCCGTGTGAAAGGGGCCATACACTTCAGAAAATGTATAAAGCTTCTTTCTCTGGAATGAAGGCTGCTTTCACACTGATCCGTTATTCTTCAGCTGTTGTGTTAAGAAAAAGTGAAAGAAAACCGCGTGACCAAGCAGAGGCGTCCCTAGGGTTGGTGTCACCCCTCGAGAGAGGAAGGAGCGGTGCCAGTGTAGCGGTAAAATGAGTATCCCTTGAATATATGTATCCCCTGAAGCAACTGCGCATGTGCCGGTTTCAGGCCGAAAAAGCAGATCTCCTACTTTAGCAGAGAGCCGGCCATCAGCTTCTTTGGCCTGAAACCGGCACATGCTCTTTTGCTTCAGGGGATACTCATTTTTACCACTACACCAGGGCGGAGGCAACTGTCACTGTTCCGGCATCTTGCTCCTGCTCCCCATGTGTTGGTGTCACCCGGTGCAGCCCGCACCCCCCTAGGGATGCCACTGTGACCACATATTCCTGTGGAACTCTTCACACTTATCAGTTGTGGGTCCTGCTTGCTGCATTTTTGGTGCAGTAAAAAAAAACACACCTCCTTATTGCAATCAAAGGAAAATGTGGCAAAAACAAAAAAAAAAACACCTGGGTTGCATTTTTGAGTCACATGTCCTTTAAAAAATGCCCTGCAAACGAGGTAAACTGCATATGCATTTTTGCCACAGATCAGTGTGAAAGTAGCCCAATACTGCAACTTGCAGTTTTTACTGTAGGAAGTTCTGAAGCGGTTTTATCTTTTTCTGAAATTAAGTAGGTGCAGCCCACAGCAGTCATAATGTGGCCCCCATGAAGATTTAGTCTACTCAATTAGGCCCACTGTTTCAACTAAGTTCGGAATACCTGCTCCAAGTCCAAGCTTGCACAGGACTGCCCCCGCCACATGTGACAGTACTGGGCCAATCATTAAAGCTAAACTCTAGCCTTATTTTCAATCTTGCATGGCTGTACAGGCTCCTATCCTGTACTGAAATTGTGTACTCTGATTTCATTGCACACTGTGAACTTATTACAGTGTGCATTAGAACCTACAGTAAGTCAGACAGAGTTCACATCATTCTATTGGCTGGAGGATGTCCAGCTGAATCATCTAGTTCTTTCTTCTCTAGCCTGACTGTCCCTGGCCCACCTGTTTTATTCAATCATTGGGTTTCAGTTGTAATCACCGAGGCTCAGCATCATATGCTGGTGTTACCACATTCTACTTTAATGAAATTTGGCCTGTGACCAGTGATGAGTGCATGTGTGTTTGGACAAGAGTCTGAACCTGCATGAGCTCTCGCATGAGAAAGCTATTAAAGCAGATAACCAATCATAATGGGCAGAGGCATTCCCCATCTCACAGCCGCACATATACATGCTCCTTGCATATGTACAGCTCCAGGGTTTGCCTCTGCTGTCTATAATCAGCTGTCGGTTTTGACAGCTTCCGGGGACTTGTGTCCAAACATATAAAGTGCATGATGAAGCAATAACATGACAAAATAAAATATATATACACATACATACAGTTGTGCTCAAAAGTTAACATACCCTGGCAGAAATTGTGAAATGTTGCCATTGATATTGAAAATATGAGTGATCATACCAAAAAATGCTCTTTTATTGAAGGATGATGATCATATCAAGCCATTTATTATCAAATAGTTGTTTGGCTCCTTTTTAAATTATAATAACAGAAATCACCCAAATGACCATGATCAAAGTTTACATACCCTGGAATGTTTGGCCTTGGTACAGACACACAACGTGACACACACTGTCTTTTTCCAGAGCAGCCTGTATATTTCTTGTGGTTACCCGTGGGTTTCCCTTTGTATCCCGAACAATTCTTCTGTCAGTTGTGGCTGCAATCTTTCTTGGTCTACCGGACCTTAGCTTGGTATCAAGAGATCCCCGAACTTTCCACTTCTTAATAGGTGATTTAACAATACTGATTGGCATATCCAAGGCTTTGGACATCTTTTTATGTCCTTTTCCATCTTTATAAAGTTCCATTACCTTGTTACGCAGGACTTTTGACAGTTCTTTTCTGATCCCCATGGCTCAGTATCTAGCCTAGTCAGTGCTTCCACGTAAGAGCTAACAAACTCATTGACTGTAATGGTCCAGTTGTATCCTAAAAGAAGATGCTCACCACATTGAGCCCGGAAAATGGTGTATATAGTGTAGTATTTATTTAAAAATATGCATAAAAGCATTCCACGTGTAGAACAATATAAACATTAATTTTAGGATACAACTGGACCATTGCAGATGTCAGAGAGTGGATAATACAGATCTCTTGTTACATTTGCTACCTAACAAGTAGCCCTCTGGTGAGTGCATAGTGGTGGTGGATTGCACATTGGACCCCAGAGTACTGTGTGGGATCAAACACAATTTGCTGTGATTGCTACTATCACATCACTGATACACAGATTTATACTGGAAGGACTTTTTAGTTTATTATTATTGGTTGTACTGAGATACATATATATATTTTTTTTTTTGTTTTGTGTCACGATATTGCTTCATCATTCATGTTATATGTCCTATGCGCTGCATCTTATATATATATTATTATTATACAGTATTTATATAGCGCGTCAAAGGGTATGCTCAGCGCTGTACAGTAGCAGGGGGACATAACATGACACAAGACAGTAACAATACACTACACGAGGGGTTTGAGGGCCCTGCTCTTTCGAGCTTACAATCTAGGAGGGAGGGGAAGGTGGCACAGGAGGAGATGGCTGTGGGGGATGGAGTGGTGGGTGGAGTGGAGGAGGTTAGTTGTTAGGTGAGGTCGGGTGTTAGGTGAGGTTGGGGTAGGCTTCCCTGAAGAGGAGGGTTTTCAGGGTGCGCCTGAAGGTGAGGAGGGACATTCTGATGGATTGGGGTAGGGAGTTCCAGAGGATAGGGGAAGTCCTAGAGAAGTCCTGCAATCGGGTGTGGGAGGAGGAGACCAGAGACCTACAGAGCAGGAGGTCCTGTGAGAAGCGGAGGGCACGGGTAGGGTAGTATCTGGGTATCAGGTCAGTTATGTAGTTCGGGGCGGCATTGTGAATGGCCTTGTAGGTCAGGGTTAGCAGCTTGAACTTGATGCGTTGGGCAATCGGGAGCCAATGAAGGGATTGGCAGAGGGGGGAGGCAGATGTGGAGCGCTTGGTGAGGTGAATGAGTCTGGCCGCTGAGTTTAGGATCGACTGGAGTGGGGATAGCGTTCGTTTGGGTAGGCCAGTGAGAAGGGAGTTGCAATAGTCCAGGCGTGAGATGATGGAGTGTACGAGTTGTTTGGTGGTGTCTGGGGTGAGGAATGTGCGTATCTTGGAGATGTTGTGGAGGTGGAGCCTGCAAGATCTAGATAGCAGTTGGATGTTGGGTAGGAAGGAGAGGTGGGAGTCCAGGGTGACACCCAGGACTTTGGCGTGTGGGGTGGGAGAGATGGTGGCGTTGTTAGTAGTGATGGAGAGGATGGGGGGGGGGGGGGGGGGAGACCAGGAGCTCGGTTTTGGATAGGTTAAGTTTGAGGAAATGGAGCAACATCCAGTCTGATATGTCGTTTAGGAGGTGGGCGATGCGGGCAGAGAGTGAGGGGGTGAGGTGGGGGGTGGAGAGGTAAATTTGGGTGTCGTCGGCATAGAGGTGGTAATTGAAGCCATGGGAGTGAATAAGTTTGCAAAGGGAGGAGGTATAGATGGAGAAGAGGAGGGGCCCGAGGACAGAGCCTTGGGGGACCCCGACAGAGAGGGGGAGGGAGGGGGAGGTGGCAGTGTTGTAGGTGACACTGAAGGAGCTTTGGGAAAGGTAGGAGATGTACCAGGAGAGAGCAGCATCCTTGATGCCAAGGGAGTTCAGTTTGGCAAGGAGGAGAGGGTGGTCAACAGTGTCGAAGGCCGCGGAGAGGTCAAGGAGCAGGAGGATAGAATAGTGGCCATTGGCTTTGGCAGTTAGCAGGTCATTGGTGATTTTAAGTAGGGCGGTTTTGGTGGAGTGCAGGGTGCGGAAGCCAGACTGTAGGGGGTCAAGGAGGTTGTTATCAGTAAGGTGGGCGCTTAGGCAATTGTAGACCAGGCGCTCAAGGAGCTTGGAAGTGAAGGGCAACAAGGAGATGGGTCTAAGGTTGTTAAGGTTAGTGGGGTCAAGGGAGGGATTTTTGAGTATGGTGGTGTATATATATATATATATATATATTAGTTTACTGAGATCTGTTGTCACTATCTCTGGTGCTAGCTGCTTCTACTTTCATAGTGCTCGCCGTTTGCATTGTGATATTGTGTCCAAACATGCCTGAGCTCATCACAGGTCACTAGTCATTAAAGTGGAACTAAACCCTCCTATCCTTTTCAGCCATCTTAATCTCTGTTGGATCTGCAGTTGCCATGATGCTGCACATGTGATCA